GGCCGGGCCCAGAGAAGCCCCTGCGCGGGGGAGCGCCGGCCCGGCGCGGGCGAGGGCGATGCCGCGGTGACGGCCCCGCCATGGCGAAGCCCCCGGCGGTGGCGGCGGCGGCTGCAGCGGCGGCGTCGGAGGAGCTGAGCCAGGTGCCGGACGAGGAACTGCTGCGCTGGAGCAAGGAGGAGCTGGCGCGGCGGCTGCGGCGCGCCGAGGGCGAGAAGGTGGGCCTCATGCTGGAGCACGGCGGCCTGATGCGCGACGTGAACCGGCGGCTGCAGCAGCACCTGCTGGAGATCCGCGGCCTCAAGGACGTGAACCAGCGGCTGCAGGACGACAATCAGGAGCTGCGCGAGCTCTGCTGTTTCCTGGACGACGACCGGCAGAAAGGGCGCAAGCTGGCGCGCGAGTGGCAGCGCTTCGGGCGCCACGCGGCCGGCGCCGTGTGGCACGAGGTGGCCCGCTCTCAGCAGAAGCTGCGGGAGCTCGAGGTGCGCCAGGAGGCCCTGCTGCGCGAGAACCTGGAGCTGAAAGAGCTGGTGCTGCTGCTGGACGAGGAGCGCGCGGCGCTGGCGGCGGCGGGGGGCGCTGGCGGCAGCGGCGGCGGCGGCGGCGCGGGCTCCCGCAGCTCCATCGACAGCCAGGCCAGCCTGAGCGGGCCCCTGGCGGGCAGCGCGGCGGGCTCGGGGGCCCGCGACGTGGGCGACGGCAGCAGCACGTCCAGTGCGGGCAGCGGCGGCAGCCCGGATCACCACCACCACGTCCCACCCGCTTTGCTGCCCTCGGGGCCGCACAAGGGTCCCGACGGCAAGGCCGGAGCCACGCGCCGATCCCTGGATGACCTGTCAGCGCCGCCGCACCACCGAAGCATCCCTAACGGCCTGCACGGTAAGCACCCCGCCCGGATCGGAAGCCCTAGGGGTGTTGTGAAGCGGTAGTTCCTGGACACCCCACAGGTGCGGGGCGGGGTGGGGGTCGCACCTCCAGACCCTTCCGCAGCTTGGCGCAGCAAATGGAGCATCTGGCAGGGTGCTGTCCCTGTCTAGTAGAGACTCAGAAAAGTTTCTTTCCCCCCGCAGCTTTTTGTGTTAGCGGCTGGCACTCCGGGGCTGTCTAGGGGGTGTCTCTCATCCCACCCTGAAAGCACTTGAGGGCGGGGGGGGGGAGTTTTTCTTGGAAGACTATGAAAGGCCCCCTAAGCTAAAGCAAGTGAATTCCCTCTTCTGGTTGGAGCCCCAGATATTCCCTCAAACTCACTCAGCACCCACGACTGCCCTGTGCTTGAGGCTGGTTTCCTCCCCTGCTTCCTTCCCAGCCGTATCTCCTCCTGGGCCCCGGCTGGCACATAAGCCCCAGGGCTGAGACCTTGACGAAGCTGGGCCAGAGCACTCTGGGCTAAGATAAGAGTCTTCCTGGCTTCCCATAAATCCCGCAGTACTGGTTGGGACACCTTTCTCAACTTGGTCTCTACAGTTTTCCCCAGAGGATATATTTGGAATCTATTCCGACTTCCCCGTGTGCCTCAGTTTCCTTTCATCCTTGCTCTTAAGTTGGAGAGGCTGATGCCCGCCTCACCGGGATGTGAGGTGGAGGTAAATAATGCCTCTGAAGGGATTTGTAGGCTCAGTCGCCTTACAGGAAGTGCTGAGGCTAGAGTGTGGATGGGTGGGAGGTCAGCGCTGTCCCCTCAACCTGTTGCTGTTGACCCTATGGGAGAGTGTCCCCCACCTAGGGTACAGTGGCTGTCCCTTCAGTGGCGATCTGGGCCCTGCAGCTTCCCTCCTGTCCTGACCACCAGATGCTGTACTTCCCTGTTTCCCCCACAGTTTTTGGAAGCTTGGTTCTCAGTGTTGGTGGCACCTGCCTCTGCCTGAATCGTTCGCCTGGTAGTGGAGAATAATCCACCCTTTCTGGTCTCCTTAAAGCGTTTCTTAGTCCATGGACTATCCAGGCTTAGAAGGACTTCTCTTCCCTAAGCTGACAGCTGGAGCAGAGGACCAAGCATTTCCTGGCCAAGCCCTCTGCGGGCATTTTGAGGCAGGCACTGCCGTCCCTGCCCATGCAGGTCAGATAGAGGTTTCCCCTTTATTTACTATCCAGGGCTTGGGAGTTCAGGAAAGGACTGGGGCTAGAGGGATATTTTGTTACTGATTAGCAATCTACCACAGCAACTCAGGTTTCTTTTTGTAACATTGCATCCACCAGGCCATTCACCGAACAGCTATGCACTCAAGCTCTAGATGCCCAGTTCCAGCTTAATTTGGGGACAGACACCCCTCCTTTTACAGAGCTTGCATGCATCTCTTTTAAGGGCTTCCCCTTCCCTGGGCAGGGGGGCCTCTGGGACGGCCAGTGTTCTGGGTCTTGATTTTCCCCCAAGTGCAGCATAAGGAGGAGAATCTTTGCACTTAGGAAAACACAGGGTTGCCGGTTTTCAGCTAGGTCATCAGTAATGAGAGGCCAGGGTGAGTCTCTGCAGGACACTGGCTTGCTTGAGTGTCTCCACCTCTCTGCAGACTTTTTTTTTTTTTGCTAGGAGATGTGAGTCTGGCCCAGAGTTGCAGTAGTGAATAATGCAGTAGAGAAGGACCTGGCCGGACTAGAGGTTTTCCACCCCACTAGAGATGGGTCGGGGCAGAAGTGTCCTGTTTCCTACAGACCTCACCTTCTTCAAGTGTCCTTACAACAAAACCACTGCAGATTTTTGTCGTAGCCAGGCTTTGCTTCAGCCCGGACTGAAAACTCAGCCTTGATACTACTCCACATTTCAGCCACACGCCAGATTGTTCTTTTTAGTTTTGTCTCTTGAAGTCAGTGGGTGGCGGCAAGGTGTCCTCCCTTGATCGTGCACAGAATTCCAGGAAACGGAAAAAGTGGGCTTCCCTATACTGGGATCCAAAGCCTTCCTTGGCTTTGAGGAGCAGGAGGCTGGGCTGAGAGAGAGAGAGAGAGAGAGTTGAGGTGGTGGCCAGCGTGCTCACAGGAGCCCTGGGTGGGCTGCATTAGCCCTGCTTTACATACATGCAAGGAGAGTCACAGAGAGGACCCCAGCCTTGTCTCCTTGTGGTCTCTGCCCAGAATGGCTTGAGGCCCCTGCAGTTGGCATTTTTGCTTTCTGATTAGTTCAGGAAACATGGATGCCTCCCTGTTCTTGATTCCTCCCGGCTGTGCCTTTTTCCCCTCCCGTGCTGGAAGTGTTACTTCCTTATCAGGGAGCACAGAGTGGCTCGTTGATAACCCAGTTACCCAAGGGGTCTGGACAGCTTGACTCCCTCATGTATCTCAGGCGACATGGTTAATTTGGCCTCCCGGTCCTTCTTCTGGAAGGTCGAGGGGAGCCCACAGAACCCTTTACCCCAGGAAGGTCAGTGGATTGGCACCTGCCCACAGTGGTCCCCGCAGTTGTCAGAGGAGTCCGTCATGGGAGGCTTGCCAGCACATTCTGGCTTCTGCTCCAAACTCTGTTTGCTTGCCTTTGAAACCGCCTGTGGGTCTGAGCTCCCTCCGTGTGTGGTGTGTGTGGTGGCACCTGCTGCTGAGCCAGGGAACCAAGGTCCGCAGTCTCTGAGGGAGCTATGCTGCTGTGCCCACAGGCCTGTCAGATGTCCTAGAAGGGACTCACGTGGCAATGGTGGAGGCGGCCATCCGTATTCAAGGCAGTCCTGGCTGAAGTGGGCTTTCCAGGCCTGTCAATGTATATACAAATTGGTCTTGGCATTGGGTAGGCACTGGATGGGCACTGGGCTCCTTTTGAGAGGCTGGGTCCTGGCTGGCTGAAGTCAGGGCTAGGGTATCCTTGCTGTCAGTCTAATCCAGTTTTGCAGGTGGAACCCAATAAACATTAGAGGTTCAGCCCCTTTTTCTTTCCCCAAATGAGGTGATATTTCAGAGAAAAAAAAATTCCCTCTGGGGTTGTAGCTTAGGGGTAGAACATTTAGAACATTTGCTCAGCACGGTATGGAACTCTCTTGAGAGTAACACACACACACACACACACACACACACACACACACACACACGAAGCAGAAAAGAGAGCATGTTCAGTCATATTCTTGTAGCCCACCACTCATCCCTCTGTCCTTGGGTGTGTGTCCTTCTCTCTCCCAACCCCCATGCCCTGTGGCCTCTGTGGCTAATTCAAGTTCCAGCAAGCCTGTGAGTGAATGTCAGCTATCTTTTTCACATTTGGGTTAAAATTTTGAGCCACTCAACATGAGCAGGGTTGGCTCTCCCGTTGGTGGTTTTTTTTTTTTTTTGTTTTTTTTGTGTGAAGGTGGGGGGGGGGGTGGGTTTTTTTTTTTTTTTTTAAGAAAAAGATGGAGCAAGTTGGTAGTGAGACAGGTCTTTTCCAGGAGGCCTCAGGGCTCCACAACTAAGACTGCCTTTCCTAAGGCAGCCAGCTTGGGACAAAGGTCAGAGGAGATAATGGGCGGGTTATGCAAGCTTGCTCTTTTCTCCTAGCCCGACTCTGGTGCAGGGGGTGCCGTGACCTTGTCCATGGACTTGAGTGCTAGGTCCCCAGAGCCCCGGAAGTCCATAGGCAGGCGGTCCACCTAGCATATCACATTTACCACAAAGAGCTTGCTAGCTGTCAAGGGCTGCCATGCTCTTCCAGGAGGCTTCTTGGCAAACTGAGGCTTGAAGAGGTGCTGGATATTGCTTTGGTACCCACAGGGCCTGCTGGGGTCTGGAGTGAGTCCCAGGTGTGAGCTCCAGCAGGGAGGGGCGCTTAAGTGGAAGAGTCGGTTCTTCCAAGAGGGTTTCAGCTCTCCTCTTTGGAGTGAAGCCCCCTCTGTGTAGAATGTGTGTGTGTGTGTGTGTGTGTGTGTGTGTGTCCCTCCATTTATCTTCCTCCACCTTCTCACCTTTCTATACCAGGCTGGCTTCGCATCACAGTGGTCATCCCTACACGACACTGTCCCATGCCGGATGGGACACGGGCTTTATGGAAGATGGGTCTATGGCCAGTAGATCAATCATATCTTACGAGAACCCAGCTCCCACTCATGCCCTTTTCTGTGTACAACGTGCCTGTGGCCCTCATTCACAACAGTTCCTTGAAAGACTTAGGCAAGTCCCTGAACCTATAAAATGGGAAACGTGACAGAACTCTGGGAGGAGGGAAGGTGTCTTTGTATGACACCCCATGAATGCACACACCTCCTCTGAGATGGAACACCCAGTGCCAAGCTTATGGCAGGAGAGCCTGCTGCCTACGGCTCTGGCTCCAGGGTCAAGAGGGTGAACTCTGTGTTCCCTGATCTGACCTGATCTGTGACCTTGCTGACCCTCAAGGCCTGTTTTCTCATTTGTAATATCCTGCTTCTACAACTGGGCCTTTAAAAGAAGGGGTCTGTGACTTCTGTTTTCATCCGGATACCGGTTTTCATGCTGGGAAAGTGCCACTTGGGAATTGTCTCCTTGGGCTGTGGATAGGGAACCCCCTAGCCTATGCTTCTGAGTGGAGCTTTTGTGCCAGTCCTGTCTTCTTGTCCAGCTGAGCAGAAGAAAAATGGCTTTGTAGTCAAGAAAGAACAGAATGACTAAGCTCTGGAGGTGGGACCTGGAGCATGGTGTGGAGAGGCCAGGGTTTGGTTTGGTCAGTGCGCTCTGGACACACATGGGACAATAACCACAGAGGGGCTGCCGTGGTGCTATGTGCAGGTGAAGCCCCAAAGTTCCAGTGACTCAGAGTTCAGTGGCTGCAAAGGAACATAGTCCAGATAAATCCTGTGGCCTCAAGAGTCAGGAGTCCCCTGCCTGGACACCGGTGATCACCTGCCTGGACACCGGTGAAGGGCTTTGCTGTGGGTAGGACTTAGAGGTCCAAGTCTTGGGTTGGCTAGGACAGGGTTGTCAGGAGTGGGAGGGCAGCTGGGAGTGGGCCT